CTTTTTGCACTCAAAAAATGTAATTTTTCTGGCATTAAAAATTTAACAAGTAATAACATCATTTGAAAGTAATGACATTTTTCTGAATTTAAGCAGAATTGTTAAAATTATCTTGTATATTCAGAAAGGAAAATTAAATGTGGGGGGTCTGTGATGTTAATATTTAGATATAACTAAAATAGTGTCAATTTTTATCCTAAAGTGGGCTATTTTTTCCCCAGGACTTTCACAATATATTTGCTATATTTGTTCAATATGATGATAGAATTCATGACGGTTAATTTAATATATTATTTAGGACCAGCATAAAGCATTTCACTGCACAAATAACTCTGTGTGCAGGCTGCATGTAAAAATATGAATCCAAACTTTAAAATACTGTAAATATTTCGGAAAAGAAAAAATTATCATTTTCTTTCAAAAAAAAAAACCTTCCGCCACAAAATATAGTTCCTCACTTAATGCTTTTGGTGTGGAATTTTGTCATGGGGTTTTAATTGAATGTAGTTTAATTAGCATTGTAGTATCCAAATTTATTGTAAGAACTAAAACATTATGTAGAATTTTTATGCCCCCGGATCGAAAGATCCCGGGGGTATATTGTTTTTGTCCTGTCTGTCTGTTTGTCTGTTTATCTGTTTTTCTGTTTATCTGTTTGTCTGTTTGTCTGTCTGTCTGTTGTCAACTTTAACCTTGCCCATAACTTTTGATTGGTTGGAGCTATGACTTTCATATTTCACATGTGTATTCCTTGTGACAAGACCTTTCTTTGGGTACCATCATATATGACCTTTTGATCTTGACCTTGGAGTTTGACCCACTTGACATAGGAGTTTGACCTACTTTCGAAAAACTTTAACCTTGGCCATAACTTTTGAATGGTTCGTGCTAGAGCTTTCACACTTTACATATGTAATCCTTGTCACAAGACCTTACTTTGGATACCAACAACTTTGACCTTGACCTTGATGTTTTACTTACTTTTAAAAAACTTTAACCTTCGCCATAACTTTTGAACAGTTGCAGCTAGGGCTTTCAAATTTAACATTTTTTATCTTTTGGCCTGGATTCTGACTTGCATTTGAGAAACTTTAACCTTCGCCATAAGCTGCCATACGGGGGCATCAGTGTTTCACAAACACATTTTGTTTAAATAGAGGTCAAGACAAAAACTGTTTTCTCTTTTGTAAATAATCATAGGAGAAATTTATTGGAAATTTAGATATAAAAGAATATCGGGTCACAGATTTCAAATTAACAATTCGGACCAGCAGCTTCTTTACAAACACTTTAATTTACCTGATCATCCTTTTTTATCAATGAAAGTGAGAATTCTAGAAAAGATTTACCATCATACTAATAGTCCATCATTGAGTACACCTTTCCATAGACAACGAGAAGAATACTGAATTAGGAAACTAAGCACAGCCTTTCCATATGGAAGCAATGACAATGTCGATAGTATTGGGAATCTTTCAAGCCCACAGTGCAGCTATGTGAATATAATGGGACTTTTTAACAGTACAAAGAGACGAAAGCGTAGTCAAGGATATCGGTTTATATATATATATATATATATATATATATATATATATATATATATATATATATATATATATATATATATATATATATAATCTTTATCACAAAAGGGTCCAGTCCTTTAATCCCCCCATATTTATTACCCCCTTCGAAGAGGGGAGGGCATATTGCTTTGCTGCTTTCTGTCTGTCGGTCCACCAACAGTTTCCGTTTTCATGAAATTTTGTATACAGATTTATCATAAGAATATCTAGGTGAAGTTCTGTTTTGAAAGCGATCGAGCATTTTTTATGAGTTATGCCCCTTGGACTTAGGAAGATTCCAATTATTACTGTCTTCCTTGAAAGACGGTATACAGAGTTGAAGTATTTTACAGTCTTCGGACTATGCACTTCCTCTCTTTTGTGATTGCTAGAAATTGCATGATGAGAAAATTTTCAATTATTTCATTGGTTGAAATGCTCTTCAAGGCAAGGGAGATAATTTTCTGATGATCTAATTTTCGTACGGCTTAACAATTTTTCAAGATTTTCAATCGTAAAAAAAATATGGCAAAACGAACAGTGGAAATTGCACTAATTTTTCGATTTTACATGCTATTTTTTATAGCAATTACCAAAAACGTTTCTATATTTTCATTGTTAACAGAATTGATTTACAGCTTGTATGTATTCTTTTTCCCTTTGTTTTGCACTGTTCTAATCTCGGCAGTACTCGGCAACACCTCGGCCGATTCGTTCCTCATCTACATATCACAAAGGTGACGGAATCAGCCGAAGTTTGCGGAATGATCTCAGCAGCAGAGTTGAAGTTTACGGAGATAGCCGAGCATCTGTTAACGTTTCACTTGGTAGAGCTTATGTCAGAAAAAAAATAATGAAGAAATACAAAGACAAGAAACTTTCAAGAATTATACGGCCTCATAGGTTTAGGTCAGTTTATCGTTTAAGGTTGTTGCTAAAGACGGTAAGCTTTTTGAAAAAGCTCTACTTGCTGCAGTGTCCATTCATTTTTCTACCAAGCATCTTTCTTTACTCCTCACTAAAATATTTACTGTGATGAAGGAATAACACCTAGGAGTACTGTACAATAGAATATTCGAAAAGTGGTGTAAATCAGATGTGGATACTTAAAAACTCCAAGGAACTTTTAGAAAATTTGAAATCACAAAATCTTACTATAATGAATAACATCAAAACGTACGACTTTTCAACACTTTATACAATCATTCCCCACGATAAATTGAAGTCCAGGCTTTTTGACATCATGAACAGCCGCTTTTTTCAATAAAAAGGGAACTCGTAAATATACTTACCTTGACATTGGTCATTTGCAAAGTTTATTGCAGCCCGGAGGACCGGGCTGCTCTATACATATAAGTTTAAGTGTTGGTATATGGGGATTGAGGTGGGAGAAGTTATTCAGAATTAAAGGTTTTCTAAACATTAAAAAGATTGTTCTTTCCCTTTATAAATTACGAGATACACAATATATTTATATTCCATAAAGTGAATCTGTAAAAATATATATGTTTTTCATATTTAATATATAAAGTTGCTTATCATTTACTATCGAAAAAACGACAGGTCCCTTTTTTTAGAACATCGAATTTTACTTATCGCATAAAAACGTAAAAAAGTACTTTACACAGTTCGTGTTTTATATTCTTTAAGTGAAAGACATTTTTGAAAATAGGTGATGCATGTGTCTGGTTTCAAATTATATTTTATGCAGCCAACATTTACTTGAGGAATTGATAAAGTTTAAAAGGGTATCGTTTTTGTTCGATTTTCATCCGACTATAAGTTTTCAAAATATTCTCGACTATCGTCTCAATCATTTAGACGCATGCCTTTTTCACACATATCGAAGCGGTTTGATGATCAAGACTCATTTCCATTGTTTACTTTATTTATTTCCCGGGCGACAATTGATGGTTACATCAATGTTTTCTTGTTTTGTTAGAGAGCACTCTGATTGTACACACAAGTACTCTGAAGTTGATATTAAAATGATGTTTGAGTTTCTGATTGACAATCTCTGTGTAGGTTTTGGAGATCAGGTCTTCCAACAATCTGTTTGAATTACTATGGGTACCAATTGCTCCCCGTTATTAGCAGACCTATTTTTGTTTAAGGAATGAATTTAATAGCTACCCAATTTATACGGTATAAAGTCTGTTGGGGCAGTTTACGCTTTATTAACCGCGAAGCGGTTTATAAAAAAGCGTCAACTATTCCAACCCACTTTATACCGTGTAAATTAGGTAGCTATTAATTTCCTTCCTTATAATTTAATTTCTATTCATTTAGTGTAAGAAAAAAGATGATTTCTCTAAAAAAAAAAAATTACTTCAAATTGTATAAAATTTAAATGTAACGTCAGGCGGATCGATACGTTTTTGACGCAAGTCATTGTGACGTAGGCAACCCAATTTATACGATATAAATTAATTTTTTTATCCAATCAAATGGCGTGTTACATTCAGAATTAAATTATATTTATATGAAGCAGAATTTATTTAAAAACTTCTACAAGAGAAGATGAAACACTTGTAGTGGCCTTCAACTCGACATTTCGATATATCGACGACGTATTATCAATTACCTTCAAATCGACATTTCGATATATCGACGACGTATTATCATGTAAACGTGGTTATTTTGACGAGTTGAAAAGTTGACGATTTTTTGTTTACGAAAATTGACGAGTGTTAATTTTGACGAAATATTGAATGAAGAGTTGATTTCGCCAGAAACTAGAGGACCAAAAACCTGGTGGAAACATTGGCTTAGTTGTCTTGACATAGACTTGATTAAGTCGATTAAGCCGCTTCATGCGAGATGTGTACCTATCGACATAATTATAGGGCAGAAAATCACTCAAGTGTAACAAACGCATTAAGGTTTATATTGCAAGTAGAATAAGACAGTGTATCTAAAAGAAATGTAGCGGGATCGAAAAGAAACATGTTGGAAAATCGCGAACAGGAATGAAATGAGTCGTAAAGGATTAAAATTAATCCGTATTTAAGAGTCCATGTCAGCTCCAATAAAACAGATGCATAAAAGAAATGTCTTAAAGGATAACTGAAAACGTGATACTTCTCAATGCTATGCAATCTATATCAGTGGGAAGAAGTTGGGGAGAGGAGGGGGGGGGGGCTTGTGAGAGATTTTTCAGGTAAGATGACGATGATTTTTTTTTCTGATTGCATTTTAACTTTCGATGTGCTATGTGGCTGGTAATTGTATGTCTTTTCTCCGAGGAATCTAGAACGTTTCCCTCCATATAAAAAAATATATAAAATATCTACTTTGCTTCCGCATGCTTTCGATTGTACAGCTTGAGAATTAAGTTTTGTAAGTTACAAAGTAAATCAGCCACAGGTATGCATAAACAATTTCGCAAGAAAAGCTATAAATATTAATCAGATAGCCTAATTTCTTTATTTTCAGATTATGATAGAAGCTTCGAGAGGGTCAAGTTACACTGGCGATATAGCTCTGGATAACATCCGATACATTCCAGGACGCTGCGGTATGAGTCCTTATTTTTTTCAGTTTTAACATTTTTTCTACAATAACTCTCCTTTTGAATGGTCATAGTGTGGTGTTTATTGCGTTAACTCTAATTTTTTAACAACTGAGTCAATTAAAACCAATTTCCTTTCCAAAGGCGATTGGGATATCATTTGATCAGGAGAGTGACCTTATTTTCTGAATGAGATGCAAAATTGCCAGGGAACTTAAGAAGTCCGATTTTAAAAATCCACTAAGCTAAGAATTAATCAGATATACCACAGTTTGGCAATGTTCATAATCACGATAAGATATAGCGTTTTGCTATGGTCAATTATTATATCATTATAGTTATTATATGGTTTTTTTTTTATTAAAAAACCTGAAAGTTCACACCTTTTATGGACAATATATTATCTTATATATGACTTCCTATCAACTTATGCGGGGTCTGTGTTTTATTTTGGAGATTGAGGTCCAAAGCAGTTTTTACATTACAGTACTACATAAATTTAATAACTAATTAAAAAGGGGGCAGACTACCGAGGCCCCCACTCTCCCTTGCTGGATCCATCCACCTTTGAGACATTTCTACAGACAAAGAGCAAGATAGGTAAAGATCCCTTTTTGGCCCTTGGTTTGGAGTGTTTCCAAGAAATTCTAATAAGTTAATTCTAGGAATGGTCCAATAGTTCATAATAAAAAAAAACTGTTGTCATCCCTTTACAAAATGAGTATTCCTAGTAATATAATACACAGAGCTCCCAGGAAGGTAGCAAAATTTGTGAATTTGTGAATTTTCTCATTTTCATTCAAATTTTCATCAATTTTAAAGCACATTTTGTTTCAGAAAACAGAGAACACAAGCTTGCCTATCTACCAAATTTATATATTTTATGCACCAGTATCACATGCATCTTGTGCATGAAAATCTCAGATAGGCAATCTTGTGCTCTGTGTTTTCCTAGGTAAAAAGTATCTCAAATCTGATGAAATTTATTAAAATTGAGAAAAATGAGTAAAATGTTCTACTTTGTCATCCTCTTGGAGCCTCCTTGTGCACTTTGAATGAAATATGAGGATAATGAACTGTATTCAATCTCGAAAGTCCAATTAAACGATATAAATTTGGAGCAGAGCAAACAAGGACATGCTGGTTATAAAGCAAGCACCATTTTGAGTTCTTAATTGCATAACAATTTTAGCACATTATGATTTTTTAAAATTAAATAGGGGGCTAAATTCAGCCGTTACCACACGTTGTCCTTTATTTATTTAGAAGTTTTCTCTTTAAATATTTACTCCTGTAAATGATTTCCCTTTTCAAATACTATTTGAGCAAGGTGTATCTATCACTTCATAGATACATGTCACATGACCACAAATTCATTGTTTAATCATGATAAACAGTTGATATAATTTCACAGTGATGTCATAAGTAGTCGACGTTTAGGATTGAAAAAAAAAACAAATCATTTCATGGGTTAATACTATGATATGTAAATATTATTATAAATCGGTCACAAATTTAACTTTTTGTAATAAGTATCACTTTAAAACATATATCGGAATATAAGTAAGGAATAAGTAAGTATCAAATCTCCCACAAAGACTTTAGGATAATTTTTTAGAAAGTTTAAGTGACTGGTGAATGTTGTGGCTCATGAATTCTAAATTGATACTCATTGATTCCTAGATGTGAACTATTTGTGGATAGATGGATTGTTTTGTTTACCACATACATTTGATACGATATATTCTGGACATTATGAGAATTAGAAGAAAGATAATTTTGGACATTTTCGGTTTGGTGTACTTCTACAGCTATTAGCGACTATGGATAACAAAAGTGTGGAAACCATCTTGTGCAAAAACGAAATAACTAATACAAATAAAATCAATATAATTTAATCAACCAAATTGGCTACGGATACATTAGATACTGCATTTTTGATGACAAAACAGTAAAGTATTCCTTTAAAAGTATATTAATATTTTAGCAAAACTGCATGATAATGTTCATACTACTAAATGATATGATATGTTCTGCATATGAACGACAGTATTTCTGATTAATGACCCTCTTCCTAGTGGAGGGAAGTCTGGTAAATAAAACAAATTTAGGATAAAACATTTTGACCTGGTGTGAATACAAGAGCCCTGTAAAACGTAATCTCTTTGATCTGCTACTCGGCACTTATGACCATTGATCTGAAAATCTCTCTCGAAACATGGCTCCCTGATTCCTTATAAGATTTAGTTTCTTACCTTTAGTATTTTTATATATCATAGACGGACAACCTCTGAAACTTAACAAAAAACGAAAAATGATATCAGATATTGGAATGTTGGAATATTGATACGTTAGGAATTCATGTATTTTTGATGTTGGTAAGTCTAATAAAATTTTCAGAAGTAAGGGGGGAAGCATTCATTCGTCAGGAACGCCCTCATAAACTTTGGAACTTGTTTTGCAATGGAGGCAATTGCGACCAGTTTGTCTTAAATGTCATCTGCAATGGCTGCTGTAGATTCAACTTATTTTAAATTCATAAACCCAGAATAGACCCCTAAGAACAGAATTGTTCTGATTTTAAACATTGTTGCACTATTTGCGCAAAGATTATCCGGAATTAGGCAAAATAAAAAAATAGCTTGGTTTCCCCTAATGCGACCGACCCAATTAAATCGCGCCGACAGAAAAGTTTTTCTTTAAATAAGATTATTCAAATATTTTTTATTGTTTATCAACTTTATTAAATACAATCAGAACGCTGATTTCATTCTACTATGATTTTCAGGTTTGTTTGAAACAAAATGGTCTTCTGGTCACAGAGGGTTATTTCGTTTTATAAAACAACGGCGACGTATCAACCTTATTTATTATCTTTAACTTATTAGAATCCTACACTTGAAATATTTCGTTAATAAAAGTACCCTGACTAATTAAGAGTGTTTCTGTGGTATTTTACAAATGTATCTTTTAAACTTTAAGTACTAGTAAGCATATATGTAGTAAGGCCCGCATCATGGGCAAATGAGCGGTCCATCTTGTGTACACATCAATCTATTTCACTTAATTTTATTTCATTTGAGTTTTGATCTAAAAATCAGTTCATCTATGTTGCTATATGTATGTTTACTACATGGGACCTCAGGAGTAGAGTAGTACTAATATGTCTTCATATTTTATCTAGATAAATATAATTGAAACGTTGTTTTTTAATACCTTTTATTAATGGATTAAATCGTGACTAAAGCATTCGATATGGCATTTTTATCATTTTAAGTTACGATTTGATCTAATTAAATATTGTTTATATACACTCTCCAAATTGGTTTATGGTACAGCTTCCAGAGACGCCCAGTATAATTTTCTTTTAATTATGCCCTGGAAGATTGGTTGCTTCTTTGCTTTAAATCCCTTTGAGAATTGTTGGGACAACAACATTTAATATTTGCCTGATGGAGGGCTCCAAATTTTGACTTGTACTCGGCACTTATGACCATTGAGCAGCGAAATTAAATGCTTCTGAAAGCATCTACAGCGACACCATCGTTGCAACCACAGCTCCGGAGGAGAGGCGGGTATACTGTTTTACCCTGTGTCTGTGTGCCCGTGTGTCTGTCCGTAACAAATTTTCGTCGCAGTTTTCTCAACAATTACTCATCACAGATGATGAAATTTTAGCACACTCTTTGTTTATACATGCCATATGGTGGGATTCATTTATGTGCGAATCCGATGTCAACTTCTGTTAATCCGTGCGTCTGTCCATACCATACATAACAAATTTTGGTCGCAGTTTTCTCAGCAATTACTCATCGCAGATGCTTGAAATTTTAGCACACTCTTTGTTTAGGCATGTCATATGGTGGGATTCATTTTTGTGCAAATCTGATGTCAACTTCCTGTTTATCCATGCGTGTGTCGATACCATACATAACAAATTTTTGACGTAGTTTTCTCAGCAATTACTAAACACAGATGCTTGAAAGTTTAGCACACTCTTTGTTTAGGCATGCCATATAGTGGGATACATTTTTGTGTGAATTCGATGTCAAATTCCTGTTAATCCGTCTTATCGTACCATACATAACAAATTTTGGTCGCAGTTTTCTCAGCAATTACTTATCGCAGATGCTTGGAAGTTTAGCACACTCTTTGTTTAGGCATGTCATATGATGCAAGGGTGAAACTAAGTTGAAAAAAATTTTATATTTGCAAAGAAGAGGTTTCGATAACGCTGTTTTTGGGACTAATGATGGATTTCAGTTTAGTGTGTTTAAGAAAAATGAATAATTTTACCTTTGTCATATTTCATGAATTATTTACGTAACCAGCATATAATAATCACGTGACTTTGGGATATCTAAAGGTCTATCTAAAAGTACTTCAGACGGTTTTGAAGATTTATTATATTTTTTTTTAATATTTTATATGAGTGATTAGATAAAACCAAACAAAAAACTATCAGAGAATATAGAATAATGGTTTAGTAGCACAAATATTAATTTAAAAAGTTTTTTCCCCAAAAGAGGCCGTTTGCGTTGATGGTTACATGTAGCTATAAAACTGCAATAAAAATTGCGTACCCTTTTTGTTGGATTATTCGCCACTTGTAAATATTATGCAAAGGTACGACAAACATGCGACGAAATAATGTCCCAACATAAAAAAAATATATTATATCTCATGTTACTTTTCACTAAAACATAGTGCATTTTCAATACAAGCCTTACATAATTATTAAATATAGCGAAGCGACCGATCTCTACTACTAAGAGTAAGTAAAAAGAAATCAGTGTTTGCTTTATATTTATGTTTAAATAAAACAAAAGTTTAAAAATCTCAAAAATTACATTGCACGGGTCATAGAAAAATATTTATATATAAATTCTGTTCTAAGAATCAATGCCAAGAATATAAATCAAGTATAAAGGCAATATATAATTAACATGTACTAATTATATTTTGGATAAAAAGTCAATAAAAATATAAAATGCATTCAATAGTATATATTAATCTTTATTAATAAAAATGGAATGCACACAAATTAAATTCTGTTTGTGCACAATGTTTATTCTAAAGATTCATCGTCTGAATCCCAATCTGTGTCTGCGGCATCAAGAATAAAGTCTTGTTATTCAGTCGGCGTTGGGAGCTTATCGACACAGTGACGTTGAAATCTTTTGTACCAGATTACTGCAGCAATATGTGCACACCAACACACAGTTCTCGCTCCTACTTTGCATTGACAATACCATCCAGTAATTGGGGGTATACTAGTTTCATCAAAGGATACCCACAGAAAATATCTTTTTGATGATCTTGTGACTGATTTCGTGCCCTCAGCAAACCAGTATCATCTTTGTGAATTGATATGCTATAAGTTCTTTCATCTGGAGACAAGTGTTCTTGGGTGTAAGATTTTGCTTGGCCTATTTGGTATACTCCGAGGGTTAATGTTCTTAAGTCAATGGGATGTTGTGCACGCAATCCTGGGACATTTCACTCCACACTACTCGTCTACTGGCTAACTTTTCCCTTTCGACCCGCTTTTGTAATTCGTTTGAAGTACGTGATGGGACTTTCATTGTGTTTGCAAGGTCGATGTCATTGTTTTCCTCACGTACCAAAGGTGCACATCGGGTGTGATTTGCCTTCTCTGTTGTGTGTTGTTTGGAACCGCGAGAAAGATAATCTGGCATCTCACTGTTGATTCCGAGAGAATCGAGAAAAACTTTGGAATCCCGAAAGCTCCTTCAACAACTAAAAGGTCGTCCTTCTCTAACCAAATCTGGATTTTATCTACATTTTGTTTAGTGATACTCTTTAAAACTGCAGCATCATTGTTTCGTCCATTGGCGAGATAAGGTCCTAAAACAGCCAGAGTATACCCATCGGTTCCAACAATCATCATAGGCTTTATGAGGTCTTTATCATGTCTAGTGAATGTTTGTCGTTGAAAAGAGTAATTACCATTCTTTTGGATATAAACATATATTCCATCTAATACAAGAATAGCAACAGGCTTCCCATCTGCTAAAAGATGTTGAGCAAAGTGTCTTGTGTGCTCTGAAATCAGATCCTCTCGCATAATGTGTTCAAATGCTGAATACTTGGGAACAAAATGTTTTATCAAGGCATCCCTTGCACATCAAGTAGATTTTGAAGTTACAGTTTTATTTTTGATTTGAACATGCTGCTAAGAACACTTAATGAATTTCCAGTTCTTAATTTTGTCAATAATAAAGCCAAGGATGTTCTTGATGGCCTGTTAGTAGGGTCTCTAAGCAGGGACAGGTAAGAGCAAAGCGTTTGAAATTGAGCCTTGGTAACGCTAGTCAAATTGTAATAATCTTCATCAGATAGTGCTGCTGGATCATCAAAGTTTACACCACTTGTTCTCTGTCTACATTTCTCCCTAAACCTAAATAACATGCTCGTAATTTCAGTTCTATTAAAATAAGTAAAATCTGATGTTGGCAACAGTCTTGTCATTACATCAGCATCAATCCCATCATCTGTTAGGTGACGCTTGCAACATTTCGCTCCATCAGGGATCAACATTCCACTATCAATAAATGTATTCAGCCTTATCTCTTTGCTGATGTTCTTCAAATCTTCTGTACCTTTGCAAAACTGACACTTTCTGTGGAACAAACTGGTCCGAGGGATTGATAAGCATATTCGCTTTGGAATTGCAAGAAAAGGCTTTGATGTTTGCAAGTCAGGATCTTCCATTTGTTCAGAAGATGCTTCAGGTTTTGTCGTCGCCTCTGCTCTTTGTTCCCTGTAGAACTCAGTGCAACATCGACTGCATACTATACAGAAATCAAAGTTTGCCTTTTGATTCATGTTTTCAGGTTTTTGAGAAACATATCTATGCAAGTCTCTATTTCCTATATATTTAACATCCCTCTTATCTTTCCTTACAAACCTTTGCAAAAACAACATTCAATAGAGAGTGATTTGTCTATCATTTTGTTTATCAGGTATTTGCCCCCATTCAGGTCCGGATTGCGTTCTCAGCACGGCTGAGGCAATTAAAGACAGGACAAGGTCCCTCCCGCTCACCGGCTCTCCATAGAAACCTACATGACCCTCAACGGCTCCATGAACTTCTCATATAGAGAGTGTCAATATGTCTACAGTCATGTACGTTTCTGCAACTCCCCAGGGCTGACCATGCGGAAGATCTCCCCTGACATCTTGGGTGCTAGTCCAGAATCGCAGTTCACAAAGGTTTTTTGTACACCAAAGCTATATGTTGGATCCATTACCTCGCAAGATAATTTCTCCTCAATAGCCATGGTAGATAATATTCCTTTGTTGCTATTTCACCCATTCGGAGAGAAATATGAGCGCCCTTTTGACAGGTTGGGTCAGATATATCTGGTTCAATAACCATAATGAACATCCGTTCTTAATAACACTGATCATATACATTTTACTTTTTAGTACAAAAAGCTTCGCCAGCAAAATCCGGTAGAATTCAACTTCACATTATAGAAAGAAAAATAACCTTTAACCCTGCCAGGACCAGAATTAAAAATAAAATGTGACCTAGACTTTCATGAAACAATAACATCTTGGGTGAAACAACGAACTAACAATTTGCTACTAACTTTTTCACACATGGAATGGAACTCCGGCATCGAATTTTAAAGTCTTTGTGTTCCTCACAGACGCACACACGGACATGTCTTAGTCAAACCTTTTTATTTTATTTTTCTTTCATGTTAGACAATTTAGTCATGTATACTTATTTCTTCTGGTTCATCATTTGGCCCCTAATCATGAACGTGTATCAATGTCTTTAAATGTTTGTAAGAATGAACCACAACTCATCATCACCGCAAAACAATCAAACAAATTAATATCTCAGTTCGTGTTGCACTGTACCATTATGATATTCCAGCATACACAGGTTGAAATTACACCTTTCAGTCGACGGAAAGGTAACTGAATGCCTACTGAATGGCCACTGAAAGGTCACTGAAAAGATCCTTTCCCGTGACTTTTCCGTGATCTTTCAGTTACCATTCAGTCGACTGAATGGCAGATACAATTCAGTGGCCTTTTAGTTATGTTTCAGTATTATCTTTTTATTGAATAATCGGCCTATTTTTTAACTTAGAAATTTTATTTCACGTTTTCTTATTATAATAGTATTAAATTAAGGACAGATGATACAAACAAAAAAATGGATACCTGGATCGGTATTTATTTTTTGACCTATTTCGGTTGTAAATTATGCGAATAATAAATTTCTAAAATATTAAGAAATCGTAAACTTTCTATGATGTTCAAAATTCTACCTTTCTGCAACCTTACTTATAAATCTTTACAATTTTTTGGTACTTTAAATCCAATTATTATGAAACTAAAATCTATGCGGTTAAAATTATTCATTTTACTCTTCTGAACATGACTAAAATTGTTATATTCAAGATTTTTGACAAAAATTTGTTTGTATCATCTGTCCATAATCTATTTTCGATTTTAAAAATGGAAAAAAATGAATGTAAGGAAAAAACATCTTGCAGAAAGCCGTGGTCGGACCGCGTACTCCAACTTGATAGCCATTACGCCACGGCGTCATCATGCATAGTACGTGATTTAAAATCAATATATTTATAGAAATCGAACTGGGACACCGAATTCATCTGTTGTATTGAAGAGCTGGGCAAACCAATTAATTACACATCTCATATCGGGATGATGACAATTATCGGCGACGGGCACCTGCTTTGTTTTTTTCCCATAGAAATGATTCTAGAAAGATCTTCACCTCGGAAAACTTTGTAAATTCTCTATCTAGAAAACTTGTATAATTAACAGGCAAATTGTGTGCATGCTTATAATGTGTAAAGAGCCTTCTATAAAAGATAAGAAATTGATGTTCCCCGGATCCAGGAATCTGGCCTCAGGGTGGAGCAAAAGTTGGTTATTATTGAAATTTACAATTCATATATTTACTCCTGAACGTCCATAATTTTGTTTCATCATTTTGTTACATTTTTTAATGGTGTGGCTAAAGTGGTCCTATCCTGAGAAACTCGGGATAGGACCACTTCAAGGTCCTATATTCCTCTAGATTGATTTTTAGAACTTTGTAACATCTATGAGTTTTTCTTTAGGTTGTGACAGCATCACCTGTATGAATGGAGGAACATGTATGGATACGGCCACAGGAGGGGTTTGTCAATGCCCATCGATATTCACAGGGCCCTGGTGCGAAAGCTTCGGTAAGACACCGACTCCAATGCTCTGTGTGTATGTGTGTATTGTTATCAAAATCAAACTCTTGTTTGTGGAATTCCTTATTCAGGGCAAAATATTCCTATAATCTTCCAACTGGATTGTTCAAATTAAGGGTATGCTAAGGTTTGCTCAACAACAGTACTTTCTTTTTGAGAGCTAAGAGTGTTATAGGAATGAACTTTAAATGGTTGTAAATTACCTAGCAATTTTTAGTTGGGTGTGGACACTTAGATCTACTTACACAAAAAAAATTACATTCACAACATATTACATTAATGAGGATATTTAAAAACCTCATCTGAAAATGAACGTTGGATAAGGGATCGGAAAAAAAAAATATTAAACTTTGGTAACATCAGTATTATCAATAAATAAACGAGATGAACATAAAAGTAATTGACCTGTTTCTGAAAATTACCTCAGGTCTAAATATTCTAACCATGTGTTATTCCTCTCTTAAAAGTGACTTTTTAAGATAAAACATTTATTTATTTAATCTAGAAATTAACTTTGTCAATAATACAGCTTAACTTGAAGTTTTGCATTCTTCAGCGGACAACGTGCTTGGTTGCTCATTTGATGACAGTCCATGTTTCTTGGAAAACGTCACAGGTTCAGATGAAACGGACTGGAGTATATCAAGTGTAAGTGCTCCAAAAATTTATTAGTACTGTTTCATAATTAGTAAAAAAATAAGAAGAGTTTTTTTAATTGCTAAAATTCATGATAATAGATGTTTCTTTGTTCACAATTGTTTACAAAGAGGGTTTGTTAAATTTTGATTCTGTTCTGATATATATATATATATATATATATAGAGAGAGAGAGAGAGAGAGAGAGAGAGAGAGAGAGAGTAATATAAACTTTTTTCCATATCACATCCTGTATCAGTCCAAGACACAATATCAGCCAGAGGGCCCGAGGGCTGATGTTGGTGGTCGTGGACTGATACAGATTGTGATATGGAAAAGAGTATGTTTTATTGTGTTTACATTCTAAGAAATAACAAACCGCACAATTACTTGAGCAAAAACAAATAAATAATCACTGACTAGCTTACATGTATTATATCAAACAACAGTAATTTAAAATTGAATTTATTAAACAGACTAAGTATGTAATACATACATATATGAAATATATGGAGATAACAACAGTATTCAAGCTCAAAAGTCCATTCAAGGAATACAAATCAGGAGCAGAGCAAACATCCCCTGGCGATCGGTCACACCCGCCTTATGCTCCCTATCATGATCGGGAAATAACGGCAAAATCTGTCGACAATTCAGTGGGTTAATATTGGCCTAACAATTAGTATGACAAAACGTCAGTCAGCATTTGACTTAATGATAGATTGTATATGTATATTTGCTGACAAGGTCATTGTATCGACCGTAGAACTTACGAAGATGACTTTAAACGAGACAGCTGATATTCTTGTTTCATCAACTTGTTTGTTTGTCAGTAAATTACCTCGTTTTAGAAATTGTTCATACGTAGAGCATATAATATATATATATATATATATATATATATATATATATATATATATATATATATATATATATATATATAATTCAAAAGTAGTTAAAAGTTGATGTCACACAGTAAAAAATAATCATAAAAGAAAAAGAAAATGCAGAGTTTCCAAATTTCATTTAACACAAGCGCTCTCTGGATTTAACAATCCGTCTTCAGGTGTACATACTTTGAAGTCTTTGTTAAATCCAGAAAGCGCTTGTGTTAAATGAAATTTGGAAACTGTGCATTTTCTTTTTCTTTTATGATTTTATATATATATATATATATATATATATATATATATATATATATATATATATATATATATATATATATATATATATATATATATATATATAAAGCTGGTTTACAAATAAAGAGGCTAAGTCTCAAATTCATTAGCAAATAAGTAAATTTATTTTCGTCAGTACTTTGCCGTTTTAAATTTACAAGATGTTTTCAACAAATTTAAATTAACAAGTTAAGGGCATGTTCATGGAAAGTCATTAAAAATCTAAAAAATTATTTAACAATTGCAGATTGTGACATTTGTTAAATTTTAGCATGCTTGAAAATTCAAAAAAGCACAAGCCTTAAATTTATAAAAGAATTACTTTTTCATGTCACAGGGAAGTACCCCAAGTAGTAATACGGGACCAGGCTCTTCATTGGATGGGCCTTTTGCGTTCATTGAGGCTACCGGACTTAGTAGTGGCAATACCGCTGTTCTTACATCCGAACAAACTTCCATTTCTGATGTTGGTGAGTGCATTGCTTTGTTGTATTAACATTTCCCAAAAGAACTTTATTGGTACTTCTAATTGAGGGGCAGGGAGTTTTAAATTTTTCTTTAGATAAAGCCACTTAATGTTTTGCAGCATATTGAAATACAATGTATTAAATATGATATATTTTTTAAAATATCAAATGGCGGAAAGAAGCAAAAAATACTTTATCTGTGAAGGGAAATGTCCACTGTTGATTTAAAATATATTTTACAATGCTAATTCGTGGCGCAGTGGTAGAGCGTCTGCTCTAGAGACGCAGAGTAAGGAGTTAATCCTTAAGTCGCGGTTTCGAATCCCACTGTGGGACGTGGAGACCGGTCCTTCGGATGAGACCGTATAAACCGAGGTCCCGTGTCGCAGTAGATGCTGGCACGAAAATGATTCCTCACTGCTCAATGGCCCTAAGTGTCGAGTATAGGTCAAATGTTGCAGCTCTCCACCGGCAAGTGGTGGCGTCTCCATACGAGTGAAAAATTCTCTAGAGGGACGTTAAACAACAAACAAACAAACAAATATACAATGCTCATTTTCATTGACAATTTTACATATTCAGATCTGTGATTTAATTCTGTTAAATGAACAGTGCAACACACACCATTTATACCCCCACTTGAAAAGAGAGGGTATATATTGATGGAGGGGGGGGGGGTGTCTGTACATCTGTCTGTCCATATATCCGGGGTAACCATCTCTTATCCGCAACTCCTACTATATTACAGAATAAAATTTAATGAGACTTTCCCGGAATCTTTATCATATTGGGACAATCTGCACTTCTTATTTTACATTTTGATTGGACAGATGTTTGTGCTTTCACTTAGCAATATAATGACGTGGTCATTCTTTATATAATAGTGGGTTATCCATCTCTTATCCGCAACTTCTTCTATACCACTGAATAAAATTTAATGAAACTTTCCAAAACTCTTATTAAAAAGTGTCATTCAATGTGCACCTTCTTTTTTTACGGTTCGATTGTAGATATTTGGGGGTTTTCCATTGCAAAACACAGATACTCCTATTTGTATGGGGGCGATGGTGTTATTTTTTGAGCTCAGTGCTGATACTACCTCTCGTTTTTTATTATTTTTGTGCCATATTTATCCCCAAAGCAATTCCATGCTACATTCAGGACATTTCCCTGTCATTTTACTTGAAAATATAATGTGAAAATTCAACTAAAGTTTATTATCATATCTAAATATAATATTATCACAATACTTTTCCTGGATGATTAAAAGTTATGCATTCTTATGTGTTTCAGACGATGAATTATTTTGCTTTTTGTAGATAATTCAAAATTCAGAGGGTTTAAGTTATGAAAACACTTGCATCTTTAAATCAGTAGAGCTACATTCTCATTAGAGACTTTCTGTAGGCTAGTCCATGACTCAAATATAAGGTCATTTAGATAAATATTTTAGTTGTTTGACTGGAAAGTTTAGCAACTGATCAAAAGGAAATATTCATAACACCTAAATGAAACCAATCCTTCTGAATATTTTTTATCTGAAATTTATTTCTATAAAGGAACAGTTATTCAAGGCAGTTTTAATAAGCCTTCATTCTCTTCTTTCTAAAATCTTAAAGTATCCTGTGTACAGTTATGTGGTTAATTGTTGTCTGATCACATTACTGAAAAAAAGTTATATAGTTATTTCCTTTAAAAAACATAGGGCCACGTTGTCTTCGATTCTATTACAACATGAATGGTGCCAACATGGGGACACTTCGGGTGAGGGCTGGAGAACGTGGCTCTGAGAATGAGGTCTGGAGCCTCTCTGGGGATCAGGGAGATGTATGGACTCCTGTAGAAGTTGACATCCCAGCAGCAACTGACCTCGTGGTATGTTGTCTTTATACTGACTTAATGCATACCTATGTGTGTCGTATACTTAGTGTATGGTGACCTGTCATTTAAACTAAGTGGTATGTTGTCTTTTATACTGACTTAATGGTATGCTGTCTATTATTCTGACCTAGTGGTATGTTATCTTTTATAGTTATTATGAACTGTATTTTCTTATTATATACACAGTGTATTTGCTACCCAGCCTTAATTGTTAAACATAAGCGAAATATATTGAATAATGAATGGGGTCCATTATTACATTTCCCATAAGTGAGAGTTCTAATGTTTTCTTATATGACTTTTTCCAGAATATTTCTTGAATGACAAAGCAATCATGAAATGAAAGCCTCCTAAATTTTTGGTTAAAATTTCAAGGTGACGTGTTTTTTAAGAGAAATGCACATGTTCGAAAAACATTTGAAAATGATGGAAAAGAAAGAAATCAAATTCCACATAGAAATATATCAAACATTTTCATTCCTTTTCCTTTCAAAGATATTTCAAATCTGATAATTGTTCTTAATGTTAAATTAATCGTTCATATATATATATATATATATATATATATATATATATATATATATATATATATATATATATATATATATATATATATATATATATATATATATATGGAGGGGGGGGGGGTGAGGGGGTGTGGATGTGAGGGGGTGTTTGTGTGTGTGAGGGGGTGTTTGTGTTAAACACCCTTAAAGCTTACTCTTAAATATGCGTTATTTTTATCCTTTGACGACTTATACTTCATTACTGTACTCCCTTTCCGCCATATTTCTTTTGAGGCATTCATTCTAATACTTTTGTAGTATAGTACTTTTTTTGCACACGCTAATACAAATTTTATAAGACGGAAAATAAACGTAGATAAATTCATGTGCTGTTTTTCCTCAATATTTCTCTCAAAACAATTTCAGTAGTGTTTGAACCACTCTTGCCTGAAAGGGGTACCTCGCCCCCTCGCTCCACATGCTTGTTAAAGAAACAAACTTTTTTTGTTATTGTATTTTGGTGTTCATGTGATGTTTGTTTTTTTTTTTTTCGTACACCAAATTAGTTTAGTTTTAAGATAATTACGAAAAACTTAAATTGAAAATTGAATCTTGCAATGCAATACACACAAAGAATTTATATAATTATGTTTATTACAACTAGACGCTTTTCACTTTAACTTCATGAACAACAATCAGAATTTTTTTTTGTGATTCCTCTGTTTTCCAAGTCGCGCAAAAACTATTTCTCTTTTCACTTGTAATATTTTCCCTGACCAACATCTGTGTATCTGAGTGCTAGGCTGCACGATGTAGTGATAACGTGTTTATCGAGTTTTTATGAATTTTATTACTTTTTTGTGATGTATATTTCAATAAATGGAATACAAGCTATAAATCACTCAGAATGATCACATCTTTGAACCGGTGCAGTGGTCTTATTTCTAGGTACATATGTACATGTACGGATAAGTTTACAGCGTTCTACGAGTTTTCTTGACATGCATTACTTGTGTTTGAATGCCTATGGACATCTATAGCAAAGACGCTGTTTTTTGTTCCATTCTTACGGTGGACAACTGCAAATTCTTTGTTAAAGTTTTACTGTGCATTACGTTTATTTTGCATTTATCGGCGTGCTCTGAAAAATAAACGCACAACTATGTTTTTTTCTTCCAAACATGTATTTATATAATTCAAATTATATACACTGTTTCATAAATAACATTCTGACTGTTAAGGTGTATATCTGTTATTCTTTTGAAACGTTTTGATCAATTCTTGTGTTCCAAGTACATGTACTTTACGATCTCAGATGTGCACGAGTCGATAGCCAAAACAAAAATTAACTTAAGTGTAACGAGGGCATTGGGATATATATCGTTACCATAAGACAAGGTATCTAAAGAAAATATGGCTATTGAATACGGCTACATGTAGTTGGTATAAGTTCATTGATGAAAAGGTTGCGTTTTTAAGAATTCATGTCAGCTTTAGTTCAGTCGGGCAATTTATTTTTTATGTTGCTTGTAATTTCGGGAACTATCTTAATCTAGTGAACTACTTTTTTTCTTTTCTTTCATAGTTACCAGACATGGATCCCATTATTTTGATATGCAGTTTTACTTTTTGACAGATTTATACGTAATATGGCCGACTTGGGTTTTATTGATCAATTTTTTTCGCGCTCTATTCAAATGCTGTTTATAGCCATTTTGAAAAGTGATAAAATTCATTAAAATTTTACAAAATAATAAATATGAGCTAAAATTGCATTCTCTGATAGGTAATTGGAATTCATCACTTTGGTTTCTGGTGATTTAATTTTATCATATTTTATTGTATAAGTATTATACAAATGTTCTAACAACTTACGAGGTTTTCAAGATAAATAGTTACAACTATCGATGTCTATTGAAAAAAAAACTGATACATAAACAGGTTTGTTTTATACATAAATTCATTACTTGTTATATATATAATTTAGAAGAGTTCAAGTGTTGGGCATTTTTTGGTTGGGTGAACATTAACTAATCTTCTGTACGGAGCGCATTATGCATTAAAAACTGATGTTGTCAATGAGAACCTGGCTAGTATATGTTCTTTTTGAAACACACCCAATTACGTTCGTTTCTCATAAATATTATAAAGATAAATGAATGTGCAACTTATCTTGCCAAAATACCACTTAGAGTATGTAGATTTAAAGTCAGTTGATCTCGCTGTACTTACTGAAATGACGTCATTTCTTAGTTTGATACGGAGTTTCTCTGTACTTGGATCAAGCTATTAACTTAGTTTGTAAAAATAAAAATAAATACGATACAATCTTAATTTTACCAAAATAAAGACATATTCTAAGTTATATTATTCCACATTTTATTGTCAAACTAAATTGATAAATTGTAGACTTTATATGTAGCCGTAGGGAGCACATTTGTACAGTAACCTGCTAGAATGAGGGGTCAAGCCCCTCGAAAATATCAAAAGTTCAACGATATCGGCTTCACTATAAATTCTGAATTTTTAAACCACGTGTAGCTATTATTCCTACTATTCTGAAAAGTGCTGAAAGCTGGTTGTGCATTGTTTATTTATTCCGTAATGTAACATTATTCCAGTGCGCATTACATCTATGCATGGGGTTTATAGAAAGACGCATAAATTTTACACAATTCCCGAAGATGAGGAAGTTGCTCCCAGCACTTTTCATGTTAAGAAATTTGTCTCAAACAAAACAGAATAAATTTTATAGCAGAAAGATACCCGTATATCGTTGAACTTTTATGATCTTTGTAGTAGTACATATATGTTCTAATTTTAAACCTGTCACGTGACAAACAGCTGATGTAAGCGATGTCGTTTTGGCTGAACTCAGCAGAGACCCGATATATACAAGTGCAAACACCACAATTCACATTCATCAAAACTAACGCTGTTAAAAAAAATAAAATTGTATTCATTTTTTCTAAATATATTAAGGCGTACACACATGTATATTTCATGGGCGTCCTTAACCTAGCTGCGTTCTTATGTTGATGCGATATATCCCGGTGAGCTTGAGATAAAAGATACCACAGAGTCTGACACATCTGTTACATATTTGGATATTTTACTTGAAAAAGACTTAATGGTAATCTAACAACCAAGCTTTATGATAAACGTGATGACTTTAACTTTTCAATCGTCAACTTCCCTTACTTACGCAGCAATATACCTTCATCACCTGCATACGGGGTTTATATCTCTCAGTTGATTCGATACGCAAGAGCATGCTTTACGTATGTACAATTTCTAAATGAGGTAAATTATTGACAAACCAGTTGATGAAACAAGAATTTCAGCAGTCTCGTTTAAAGTCATCTTTTGGTAAGTTCTATGGTCGATACAATGACCTTGTCAGCAAATACAATTTATCATCGATTCAAATACTGACTGACGTTCTTCATACTAATTGTTAGGCCAATATTTCTTCATTGTCACCATAATCAAAACTAAGTCTAAAATGTATTACTTAATTTATAATGTTTGAATTATAATCTAATTTGATAGATAACTGCAAAAGATACACACACCAATTCACGGTGCTCAACGGTGATTATTATCATTAAAAAATTAGAGGACAGTTGGGGTAACGACATGATGTTTTAACAGTAATTAACATATCTCAGACTGACCAATTACCCCGCAATTTTAATCTGGAGAGCCATAATGACCTCCCAGTCAGCCTAAATAAATATATGAAAACGCTAAATCAAACGTTTAGGTAGGAATTTCTATTTTAAAAATGAATTTTAGAACATTGCCTACAATTTTACATATATTATAATTTTTTTTCGACTAATCGATTACAGATTTTCTAACCGATTGCCATCGTTCCGACCGAGTAATCGGTTAACCGGTTAGAAATTGCCATCCCTAATATATATATATATATATATGTATGTATGTATTGCGTGATTAAATAAGTAGAAAAAATGTTGTTTTTAAAAGTATACTTACATGTTATCAATTTTATAAATCGTTAGTCTCAATCTAAAGTTTCACAAATACGATCGATTTGTTTTGATTATTTTTTACGGTTTATCTAATTAATGGTTTGATTGCAAAGGGGTATACACGTTATGAAAATTAAATAAATTACATCATATTAATAACATGACTTACAAGATGCTTCCAAGACAACAAAAGCTTGGAATTTTTTTCTTTAGAAGAAATGATTTGAAATTCATAAAATGAATTGAATATCTATCTGTAACAAGGATGTTAAGGTGTGTAATGAAAAACCAATCGAGTAACCGGGTACTTGATAAGAAAAGTAAGATCGTAACCGCTTACTAAAAAAAATCGTCCGATTTGACAATAGTAATAAAAAAAATTGCATAGTTTTTTAACACCTTTCCAGAGATTTAGTAAAGCAAAACTGAGGACATTTTTCTATTTCTTGTCATAATTGATGAACTAATAAAACTAGTAACAGTTTAAGGTCTATGGGGAAAAGAGCATAAGAATCAAGTCCACCAAGCTCTGTCTTCGCAGAATACAGAAATAAAGCTTTTATTTGTACCCCTTTATCCAAAAGTTCATTTCTTTTAAGAGACAAAACAATGATTTATCTTAGATTTGACAATTTTAGGAAGGTGCGGTGCCTCTTTAAATCCCCCTGACAATTATTAAGTTTTCCTTGACTGCTTGATGCATAAACGATCTTGACCAAATCAAAATACCGACATTATTACCCCTACAAAAAAGTATTATAATAAACTCTAATATAATTTACTATAGTCAACTATAGTATCAAAGATTTTACTATAGTAAAAGTTTTTACTACAGCAAATCAAAGTATTTTTACTGTGAATATTTTATTTGTTTAAATTCCTACAAGCAATTTTCTTGTATTAAAAGACAATATTACTTGTATATTTACATAGTATTAAAAAGATTACTTTAATGATATTTAATTTAAGAAATATTAGGGTGCAAAACCTTCAAACAGTGGAAACAGAACGGCGGTAGATGTGCATTAAAATTGGAGAGGACTACATGTATATTAAAAAATAATAAACACCGAAATCTAATTTTATTTCTTTTATGGAAGTTATTCAATTACTTCGAGCGAACTTTTTGATCACCCCTCGTATCTCAAATATTTTTGTTTTCTCATTTGCAGTTCAGATTGAAATTGCAAGTTTATGAGTTTATGATCATGATGTAAAATGTAATAGTTAAAATTACGGTCATTTTAGAACAACAAAGAAACGTAATTGAATCATAGGATATTAATTTTATGCTGTTCCAAAATTAAAATGAACTCATATACTTTAATTATTTATTCATATAAATATTTTAATAATTAATATATTAATTGGTTATTTAAAAATTTTCCATTCAATAAGTAATTCAATTGTTGCCCATGATACATGTAGAATGTAATTCAATTAATGCTATCAATAATTGAACTGCTGCTGAGTGCATCAAATGAATTTGTGTATAATGAAATCAATATCATATTCATTGAGAAGATATGTATGTTTGATTTGCTCTAAACTTCCACTCAATTCATAATTCTTTCAAATATTCAGGTCTCACTTATATTAGTCATACTAGATTGCTTATTTTTTGTATTATATCCATACATATAATATCTGATAAGTAATTATTTTGCACATTTATTGTTAAATAAGAAATCAAAATTAAATTTTAATTATGCAGGATTCATGGTCTGTTGGCCTTTGAAGCGTGTTAGTGAAGATGTATGAAGTTACCAAATTGATTTTGTGAATTAAACAGACAAAAGTGTAAATTATACAGATTAAACTGTAAAATGAACACTTTAATGTGTAAAATTTACAGATAAAAAGTAAATTATAAAGATTAATATGTAAAATTTACAGATTAAAGTTTAAAATTTACAGATTAAAGTGTAAATTTTATTTTATTTTATGCACGATTCATGATCTGTTGGCTTTAAAGTGTGTTAGATAAGATGTATGAAGTTACCAAATTGATTATGTGAATTAAACAGATAAAAGTGTAAATTATACAGATTAAAGTGTAAAATGTACGCTTTAATGTGTAAAATTTACAGATTAAAAAGTAAATTTTACAGATTAATATGTAAAATTTACAGATTTATGTGTAAAATTTACAGATTAAAGTGTAAATTTTACGGTTTAAAGTGTAAATTTTATTTTATTTTGATTCAGATTAAAGTGTAAATTCTATTTTATGCACGATTCGTGGTCTGTTGGCGTCAAAGCGTGTTAGTTAAGATGTACACGTATGAAGTTACCAAATTGATTATGTGAATTTAACAGATAAAAGTGTAAATTATACAGATTAAAGTGTGAAATTTACAGATTAATATGTAAAATTTACAGATTAAAGTGTAAAATTTACAGAATAAAGTGTAAAATTTACAGATTAAAATGTAAAATTTACAGATTAAAGTATAGAAAATGAAAAATAAAAAAGTGGCCACGTGACACTAATACGTTTCCGTATAAAAAGTTTATATGAAAATCAACTGTTTTTTTTTTTAAATGAGTGCTTTCGATTCAAGAACTATAAAGTTTAGATTTTATTTTGACAATTCTTGAATTATGTAGTTCAAGTCATTGAGTCTCAACCAAAAATTTTAATTCATAGAAAATTGTAAAATTAGTCACTCAAAAAATCGTAAGACTCGATGTCTCAACACCTCTCTTGACGTATAGATACCTGTTTGTTCAGGAATCAGGTATCCTTTAGTGATTTGATAAAATTTTTGCCCCCTAAAAGCCCAGTATTTTTTTACTTATGGATCGATCCTTTTTTCAAAGAGTGTAGGAGAAAATTTTAAAATTTATGTTGTAGATACCGGTAGGTTCCACGTCCATGTACCATTTTGTGAGTTTTTGAATCGAGTACTTCTTCAAAGGTAAAAAGCCAAAACCAAAAAAAAAAAAATCATTACAAGAAACACTGCTTTTGCAAGCCGAAGCATAATTATGTCCCCTTGTCGGTGTTACATTGAATTTGAAAGCAGAGAGCAAATATGCTCTGTTTTGCAAATTTTAAATTTTTTTTAAGAAAAAAATTACCCATTTTTAGTTTCGTGGCAACGGCAACTATTTTTGGTTATATTTAAACCCCATTAACTTGGAGAGACAATTGCACATCAATATTATGTACATGAAGTTTGAAATACAATTGGAGAAAAAAAATCCATTTCAAATAATATTCCATGTACATGGATACAGTTGTGCAACCGATTACATTGTACCATTTTTTAGACGCCAGTTAGACCAGATGAAAAAAATAAGATTTTAAAGCTCCAAAAGAATTGATTGGCCAGTTAATAAGAAAAGAAGAACTTCAAAATTTTCAATTTTCATACTTCATATTTTCAAGCTAACGGCGCATCATTTGGAAAAAGGGACACTTGTAACAAAGTGTTGCCTCCCCCCATACATACGTATAGCCATGATATAGTATTGGGGGGATTGGCTTTGGGGGAAATCGCATTCTATAACAATTACACAGAGTAGGATTTCCCCCGGACTCTGATGTGGGATTTCCGTATATTGAATTTTTTACATTATCTATAATAATCTTTAAGTGAATTCGGAGTCCACTTATTATTTCAGAATATATAAAAATGTTAAGTACATTTGTAAAAATATGAAATGTACCTGTTTATGGAACAGAGTGCCTACCCTGTGGTTCCTTTATTTGTTTACAACACTGACACCCTATCAGTTATATACTGTAATAAAATAATATCATTCACTCTCAACTCTTGCACACTCAATATTTTCATTATTTATTAATTTCAGATAATACAGATAAATCAGATTTTAAAATAAATTTTGTTAATAAGAAGTAAATACGTTATTTACATATTAGCAGCTGGTAGCCAGGTCAAATTTAAATTTATATAGTACATCTGAAAATCATGTCTTCTCAGTCTGAAATCAATCTGAATGTCGTCTTTGTCTCATGTCCAGAATTTGGAGGTAAAAGTTTTGACCAATAGAATTCAAGAAATTTGAATTCTACTCAAGTAGCTTATTACAGGTGTAGGAAAAGTACAAGGGTGGATCTAAAGGTTTAGCTGATTGTTTATTTTATTTCAATTAGTTTGTTTTGTTTAATAATTTTATTTGATAAATCATTTTATGGATAATACTAATATTTGATTTATAAGTTATTCATCTTGGTCAATATTGATTGACACACAGATTAATACATGTATTTAGGAGTTTAAAATCAGTTGGGACATATTCATAGATGTATAATTATACCCCCGCTCCGAAGGAGAGGGGGTATACTGTTTAACCCTTGTCTGTCTGTCTGTCTGTCCGTCTGTCTGTGTGTGTGTCTGTCTGTCCGTAACAAAATTTTCATAGTTTTCTCAGCAACTACTCATCGCAGATGCTTGAAATTTTAGCACACACTTTGTTGAGGCATGCCATATGGTGGGATTAATTTTTGTACGAATCCGATGTCAACTTCCTGTTTATCTGTGCGTCTGTTCTTACCATACATAACAAGTTTTGGTCGCAGTTTTCTCAGCAAGTACTGATTGCAGATGCTTGAAATTTTAGCACATTCTTTGTATAGGCATGTCATATGGTGGGATTAATTTTTGTACGAATCCGATGTCAACTTCCTGTTTATCCGTGCATCTGTCCGTTCCATACATAACAAATTTTGGTCGCAGTTTTCTCAGCAAGTACTGATTACAGATGCTTGAAATTTTAGCATACTCTTTGTTTAGGCATGCCATATGGTGGAAATCATTTTTGTACGAATCCGATGTCAACTTCCTGTTTATCCGTGCGTCTGTCCATAACTGAACTTGTGTACATTCACATCATTTGAATAATTAAAATAGCATAAAACTATCACTATTACATTATTGCACATTTACAGGACATTCACAATCATATTCCAAAATATGAGTGGGCTTATGCGAAAAAATTAAGAGCAGTTCAGGGAACTAGATGTTTTTGTAGTAAAATGTTGTTTTTATTTATATAGTACATCTGAAAATCATGTCTTCTCAGTCTGAAATCAAGCTGAATGTCGTCTTTGTCTCATGTCCAGAATTTGGAGGTAAAAGTTTTGACCAATAGAATTCAAGAAATTTGAATTCTACTCAGGTAGCTCAAAATATAGGAGTAATTTTAGGAAGAAAATAGTGTGACAGACGGACGGACCAGGATAAAAACAATGTACCCGAACATTCTTTAGACAGTGTGAATTTAAGTTTTTATTTATGTGTCCCTTCGAAGCAGATCCCATAGCGTTAATGGTTTTTTCAAAACAAAAGATTTATTATTCAAGATTTCTAATATTTGTATATATTTTGCAGGTCAATTTTGAGGGTATTCGGGGAAGTGGTTACAGAAGTGATATAGCAATCGACGCTGTCAGTTTGTCTGAATCTTCTTGTACAGGTAAAAGATTTCATATGCAGATAATATTAAAGTAAAAATTCACAGTTTACAGTGTATATATTTTATCTACAGGATGGTCATTTTTAAATCACCTGAGTCACTCATGATCAGGTGAACATTGTCCGTCGTCGTGCGTCTTCCATCGATCGTAAACTTTGGAACAATTTACGCTCATTTTTGGACCAATTTCAACCGTTTTTTGTATGAAGCAGCTATGGATAAAGGGGAACAAATAATGTGAATTTCATTGTTTCTGTTCCTCTGAAGCCTGAGGGGTGTGGCCAAACCATCAAAATTGATTCAATCTTCAAAAATCTTCTTAACTGCTGAATTTCAAGCAGTCAAAGTGTTGGCATGATTATAATAAACGATTGACCCTTTACCCAGATTGTAAAATTAATGGCCCCTAGGTTCGGTGTTCAAGTTTCAAAGTGGGACTACGTCAATCATATTTTCATTAAAATTTCTTCTTTTTATGGACAAGCTTTTACCAAAGTGTGAAATTCATGGAACCTAAATCTATGTCTAAGACGTAAGGATGGGGTTTTGTTAGTCAATATTGAAAATACATTACATCTTTGAAAAATCCTCTTCTATACTCATTGGTATTTAATATTGTTGGTATGGCTCCCTAGCCCATAGCATAATTCAGGCGTCAAAATGTATGGGACTAAGTTGGTCACATATTGAAAATATATTACAAATTTGAAAAATCTTTACAAATTTGAAAAAATCTTGTTTACTCTGGGACATATAGCAGGCAAATTGTTTGTTTGTTTGGTCCCTTCAAGAAATTTTCGTCCATACTGACACGCCACCACTTGCCAGTAGAGAGCTGCAAATTTAGACCTGTATTCAACACTTAAATTGTAGGGCCTTTGAGCAGCGAGGAATCTTTTCCTTGCCATAACTTACTGCGACATGGGACCTCGGTTTATACGGTCTCATCAGAAGGACCCGTCACCACGTCCCACAATGGGACAACTGTTTGCATAATTACAATGAGTACTTAATCGTTTAGCAAAATTTTAAAAAATGACTCCTGGTTGCAGCATTCAGGATAGGGAATGTCATACATCTCTTAATGATTCAATCTTTGAAAATCTTCTTTTATGCAGAAATAGGTGGAAAACTGAATATATGTTTACATTGCATAATTAAGTGTAACTCTTTTCCAAGATTGTAAATTTCGTGTCCCATGGGTCCAGAGTTCAGGCACTAAGAAATACACAGTTGATCATATATTAAAAAATACATTATATACTAAGTATTATTATTCATTTTTCTCTATCCATGGACAACTAAAAGAAAAAATATATATGCATGATTTAAAAATCACAGCCTTCAGTCGAAGTTTTTAAATTAATGGCCCAAGGCCAGGGTTCAGGTTCAAGTGTGAGTCTGTATTGGTCCTTTGGTCATATATGTATTACATTAAATCTTTGAAAATCTTACTCATTACTCGTGACATTGAGCAGACAAATTGTTTGCATGATAATAATGAGTAATTAGCTCTGTACACTTAGCTCTATAAAATTCATGCCCCGGGTGCAGACCTTAGGTTCCAGGATAGAGCCAAGTTGATCACATATGAAAAATTATATAGTGTACCTTATCTTCTTTACTCCTAAATTTCTGGGAGACAGGCTGTATTAATTTGATAATGAATTTAAAGCCCTGAACAAACATTTTTAATTTTTTGCCACATGAGACTAAAGTTCAAGGTAGAGTTAAAGTGCTTAAAGTAGCTAGCCTGAGAAACTCATGATACCCAAGTGACTGTCAAGGGACACGGGTTTCTTGTTTTATTAATATTTTGATACATAATTTTGAAAATATTTTCAAGAAACCTTTCAAATAATTACGCGAACAGGACTTAAATGTCATTTCAAACCATTATCATTTGTATTTATTTGAATATATCAATAATGTATTTGATAGAAAAGTTGTATCTATATCAGTAATGTATTTGATAGCAATTTTTTTTTCTATTTATTGTAGGAAATTAGCCAGCTTGATATTGGACTTTTCATCAAATGAATTAAATGTTTACCCTTCAAGACTTTCTTGATCTTTTGTTATCATGAGTGCAATGCAGAAAGTTTCTTTAGCAATCACTGCAAGAATTTAATGAGAAGATCTATAAATATATTAGTGTCTGTTTTGTTCAATCAAATGTTTGCTTTAATAAAATGCATGTTTTCAGATTGTTTTTCTTTGTATATACATATATGATGTATCATGTGCAAGAGCAGAAACAGTGTCCAGAACCAGTTCTTGGCTATGGCACCAAGATGTAATGTCACAACTGCTATAAAATCTTTAATAATCGAATGTTGTCAACAAAATTTTACATACTAATTTTCCTATCTATTTTGATTTTTGCCTTTAAATTTCATACAATTATAAAAAATACTTTTTTAAAATATTAAGATAAGCAAAACGTTAGGTATTGTGTATAGCCACATGGCAAGAATGTTACCAACGTCGTTACGACGTTACTTTCGGCACTTATTTTCAGTCCATCCGCATATCTTTTTAAACCTCTCACTTGCTTCTTTTTAATCATCTTTACTGCCATTTTGCTCTAAAATGTCTTGTTTGAGTTGATGTTTTAAAATTATTTGAACTTTTTCCAAATGCTATTTCTAAATCCATTCCTTTTGCATAGATGTTAGTTGTGGATGAACTGAAAATGAGTCCCGAATAGAAATGTCCCTTCCTCATTTTGTTTGAAAAAGTCAAATTTATATTCCTACATATATAACATGACCAAAATCAGTATCAGATATCTTTCGTAAAAGCGAGGGGACATTAAATCTCATTCGTCTAACTGTCAGTCCGTCCGTCTGTTTGTCAGTGTGTCTGTCACAGAAACTTTAACCTTGGTCATAACTTCTGAATGAAAAGAGATAGGGCTTTCATATTTCAAATGTACCTGTGACAAGACCTTTCCAAATATACATGTACTATGATTCTTGCCCCGTGACCTTGATTATGAAGTTTGACCTACTTTTCAAAAATTTTAATATTACTTTAAATTGGTCATAAAATTTGAATGAGAAAAGATAGGACTTTCAAAATACATATTTACATTACCTGTGACAAGCCCTTTTCAAATATGTTGTGGTGTTTGACCCCGTGACCTTGAGGTTTGACTACTTTTCAAAATTTTATCTTTGCTTATAACTTTTGATTGAGAATAGAAAGGGCTTTCATATTTGACATGTGCATTACCAGTGAGAAGGTGTTTTCGAGCATGCTTTGATGTTTGACCCCTTGATCTTCATGTTTGACCAAATTTTCAAAAATTGTAACAGGTGATTCCTTTTGAATGACATGATAAGGTGTTCATATTTGACAAGTGCATTACCCGTGTCAAAATTAATGTTTTCAAATGTGCTATGATATTTGACCCCGTGACCTTGAACTTCAAGTCGGATCTAATTTTCAAACATGTCATCAGTGTGTTGCTAACTTTTGAAGGAGCGAAAATAGGGCATTAATTTTTGACACGTGCATTACCTGTGACAAGCATTTCCAAATGTACTATGATTTTTAATCCCATGACCTTGACCTGAAGTTTGACCTAATTTTCAAAAATTTTAACATTGCTTATAACTTTTCATTGAGAGAAGATATGGCATTTATATTTGACATATGCATTACCTGTTTCAAGACCTTTCCCATTGTATACTCTGGGTTTTTGATATTTTTTCACATGTACATTACTTGTGTGTTGTTACAAGAACTTTCGGATTTTATTATAATACTTGACCTCATGACCTTGATCTTGAAGTTTGATGTAGTTTTGAGAAGCTATAATCTTTGCTGTAACTGTTATTAATTCAATAATTTATGTCTTTTTTGTATAACGCACAGACAAGACAGGACACACAAAGAAGACAGTTACAATATGCCATAAATAATGGCATCCCATCCACTAAGACACCGAAAGCGGGGGATCAGAATTCTTTAAATTTGCTTGTTAGAACTAAATGTTAAGGAAATTTAAGTATGCTTCTGGATTACATTTAACTTGCATATGTATAAAATTTGCATGGGTTAAATCATGTGAATGAAGAATATATAAGCCATATTTCATTTTAACAAACAGGAAGATGAGGAATACCTCTGAGCACTTTGGTACAAACCTTGAGAATTTAATTTAATTTTTAATATGTATTTACATTTGGAAATACTTAAGAATTCTAAATGCTTCTGATTTAGAGTTTCTGACATTGTAAGAAAATTAAATTTTCATAGGATCATCATGTTAAGGTCAGTCAGTCGATATTGGTGTTTTCTCTTAATTGACCATAATTTTTTTTTATTTTTAATTGAAATATGGCAAATTTGGTATCATTTTTCTTGTAATAGCATATACTTTCTAAATGTAAAATGAAATATTATAGAAAGACATGAACTTTCATAGAACTCATCTATCATCATGTTAAGAACAGTCGAATCGATATTGGTTAGTTGATCATAACTTTTTTAAAAATTATTTTTCAATGAAATATGGCAAATTTGGTATAATTTTTCTTGTGAAAACATATTCTTTTTAAATGTAAAATGAAATATTGTAAAAAGACCTGAATTTTCATAGAAAGCATCTTTCATCATGTTAAGGACAGTCGAATCTATATCGGTGTGTTCTCTCAACTGGCAATAACTTGTTTTTCAATAGAATATGGCAAATTTTGAATTATTTCTTGTAATAGCCTATACTTTCTAAATCTAAAATATCTTAATTTACAGACAATTTGGAAAAGTTAAATGAGACAGAAGACAGTTTCACTCTCAGGGTCAGTTCTAAATTATTGAAAATAGAAGGAACCTGTCATTTGCTGCCCTACACACCACAGGTGTAAAGGACAATGATGATGATGATGTGATTTGAGGTTTTATTCAGGGTTATAAAATTTCAATTCATATTCTGACTATGAAATGTTCTCTCACTTCATTATTAAAGGCGGTGTTATGAATATTCATGTTCCCCAAACAAAGATTCGAAACATATTGTTTTTACTCTTTTTTAAAAATTTTTTCTCCGGTACCTTTTTGTTCGTGAGTGTTCTCGGAAACTACTCATCCGATTGAGATGAAACCTTTTTAGGGTTAACAGGCATGTTGTGTAGATGCGCACTTACGTGTTCGCACGAGGAGTGAAATGACAAATACATTTGAAATGGCTTTATCCTTCCTAATTTTGATGATATGCTTTTAACCTTAATATATAAACATAAATTAGCAAGAAGGCATGTGCTTGCACATGTGCGTCGCTCTGATTGGCTGACACAGTAAATCTCAATAACCTTCTTTTTTGATGAAATACTTTGAAATTTAAAAAAAATAATCATACATAAGGAGGTTTTACATTATGATATCGTGAAAACGCGCGTGTGCTGCAATTTTATTGGCTTAAACTTTAAATGGTTGAAACTTAGTTTTCATCAAAACAGGATGAAATTTAGAATAAAGATAGGTATAATGGGTTCTTACACTGTCCTACTATCAAAATTGAATGCAAGAACATGCGTACATGTATGCTGGATTCCGATTGGTTAATACTTAGAGGGTTGTATATCTCATAGTTTTCAAAGAAAATGTTTGAGATTTCTTACAAAGGTGTATTTATTGCGAGTCTCTTTACGAGGAAGACGTGTGAAATATCTAGAAAACTTAGGCATGTGCATGCTCTGAAATCTGATTGGGTAATACTCAGAGGACTATACAGGCGTCATTATTTTTTTTAAATACTTCTGAAAATGAAGTGAGATTTATTACACAAAATAGTCGCCTAATTTAATGAAGATTCTACGCAGTGAGGCATAAAGTGGAGTAGGGGAGTGTTTGGGGAACATCTGTAACGGTTCCCATTACTATTTTCACTAGGTTCCTTAGTTAGGTATCTCCATGCATATTGTATGACTAATAGTAATCTGTTTTAATTGTGATAATTTTTGGTTCGTGCAGTTTTTTTTACAAGAAAAATATAGATTTCCCATCTACATTACTTAAAAAACTTCTTGTCCCATCCTTATGAATGCCCCAAAAAGTACCTGTCCCATCATGCTTTGCACCGGTCCCACCCTGATGATAAATACTGCCTGGTCCCTAACGACGTCGGTATATTTTTGCCGCGCTGCGATAGACGAGACCCCACGTTGTGTTTGTTTTAATACCTGTATTCGAAAATGCGAACTTTTTTAATACATTGTATTTCATAAACTACCTGGCCAAAATTATTCATTTTTTGCATAATGTTGGGAAATGATATTTTTGTCATTTTGGCTAAATAATATAAGGTTCCAATGCCATATGCATTTATAAACAACATTTAAAGCGTGTTAAATATCGGTGGTCGGCGCACGTCAATTTCTTGACTTTCAAAAACAACATTGACAGCAATGTTTTCTTTATTACCAGGCTATACGGAAATATAATGTTACAAAAATTATATCCTTAGAAACTTTATGATCTAGAGTACTCGTGTGTAAAAATCAATACTCTGACATCATAAATAACAAAAATATGACGTTTTATGCACAAACACTGTTAATTTGATATTGCCAAAAACGGCGACGTCGAGCGATAATGCGGCGCACCAAATTATTACTGAGTGTTGTGTGGACCGGAGTTTGACTCCTGTTCATACGGAAACAAAAGCTGGGAACGACGGAACGACGACATAGATACATGTTGTTTATACATAGTAACTAAAGAGGTTAAAAAATGAATGAACTGGTTATCCGATGGAAGAAGCGTTTGGTAGACCAACAAAAATGACGACAAACTGAAAAGGCTAGAGCTGGACGTCATACGTGGAGACCACCGTTAAGTATTCGAGCAGTAAGGTTTATGATCGGGGTTGGGAAATTGTCTATTAAAAGAATTCATTTTTTTTCTTAACTGCAGTACGTGTGAAATAGATAACTCGGTAACAAAAATAAAATAAAATAAAATGCAGTATCATATTTATGGTTCGAACGATTTTTAAAGACACATGGTTCCTAAAAAAATTCAAAACTCCACAAGCTACGCTTTGATGTCGTCGGTAGCTATTTTGAATGATTCGTTTACCAAAGTGAGAGAGAGAAAAAAGACATTTATAGAGACATTTTACTGGTATGTCTGTGAATTATTTAAATAATGTTGAATTAAACGCATGCCAATTTTTTTTAGCTCTACTGGTCAGAGACCA